AAGGGAGAGGAAGGTTTAAGAGTTATTACTACTCTGTAATACGAAAGGGTACGGATACCACAGATGTATGAGAGAAATACTCATGTTACTGGCGCCCTGTGGTGTGTGTGATGTGTTAGTATCTGAGTGAAGATATTATTTTTTTTCGAAGGTTACAAATTGAGATAGAGAATATTGTTTCAGGAACAAAAAGCAGGCTGTGGTTTTGATTCTGTTTTTTCATCTATAAATATCTGTGATGACCTTTACAGTCGACACAGTTATATCATGTGCTGCTCTACCTGCTGTTAATTATCACACTAGTTCTGCTCTAGTGAAGCGTAATCAGTCTTGGTGCGACATGCAGCTATGCTAGATGTTTAATTATTATTTCCAAGAGCTAATAATCAATCAATACGATTCTTGTTGAGTATGAGATTTTTATGTGAGAGGAGAATGATCGAGGTTTAGAGAAAGTGATTATGCTTATTACAAGAGGATTAACTGTTCTAAGATTGTCTTGTATCGTCAATAAAGGTAGTGTATTAGGAGTGGGGGGTGATTGGTATAATTATTATGATCATTTTATTTTAATGAAAGGGTTTCCGCTGATAGCATCGATTTATAGCGATATATTTGTAGTAAAGTAGGTTCAAATATCAGGGAATATTTTTAATACAAAAGATATATAGTCGAGTGGAGAATATTCACAATGAGATGTATCCAAAAGTGAATGAATGCTTGGAATGTATGCCGGAATATATATGAGTGTATAGATGTGTGTATGGTTTAATAGAGAAGAATCATGTGTTAAAATAAATAATGAATAATGGTTCAGCCGATAGGATTAATACTTTTAGCTTTATATAGAATGTTGAGTTCCACTGTGTGTCTAGAGAGGGTGTTCTTAAATAGTTGATTTCACTTCTGTGTTTATATAGCTTGAGAGAAGAAAGATGGAAATGTGTTTTCCTGGAATATCTATTTAAAGTCTGGTTTGTTAGTATGTTGTGTAAGTTCATACATGTACTCAATAAAATCTAAAATTATGTGATTTTTTGTTTTTAGTTAGGTGAGTTTTATTTTCTCTTGGCTGCCATAATGGATTGTATATATTCATATATTCGGGAATAGATAGTATATGATAGGTATAAGTTTATATAGTGTATCTGATAGAGTGTATTTTAGATTTGATGAAGGAGTATATCTGTTTATATGAAGGATGAGGTGTAGAGGTGTATTTTGATGTATGTTTAAGAAGTTAGATCAATAGATAGGAGGTATATGGATAGATGATATGAGTAATTTATTAGAATACATTATCACTAATATATAAGAATAAACAATAAATGTTTCTTAGAATCCTCCC